TAGACTTTTGATCTTTAATTCCCCACATGATGGAATCCACCTATAGCTGATCGTTGATTTTGTCATGGTGCATGAGAGATCCTTTAGAGTTCTTCTTTTTTTTCCCCTTGTACTTAAAAAAATATACAAATGTTACGTTGTGGATAAAAAAAAAAAAGAAAAAAAAAGAGTATTTTGAGAGGGGTAATAAGTTCTCTAACACGATCTAAAAAGATAACACGTCAAAAAGTCTTTAATAGATAATATAATGGTACATATAAGGTCTCAAACACGATCTAAAAAGATAACACGTCAAAAAGTCTTTAATAGAGCGCGGTAATTATAAGGTCTCTAATACAGTCTAAAACATATATATCATTGATTCATACTTACATTAATTATACTATAAATAGAGGTAGATTAAATGCTTCTAAAAGAATATCTTTTTCATGATTACATAGTTGTATTTTATTGACTTTAATAATTTTAGTTGCATGCATGCTAAAAGAATATATCATGAATTTCATGATTATATAGTTGTAGTTAATTGACTTAATTTTAGTTGCCTGGCCTATATATGCACCATTTTTTGGTGATAAGACTTTGTAGTCGTCATCCAATTAATTCGATAGTATTAAGTCATGGATAATAGCATGCATCTCCATCTATCAAGAACCTAAGGCACTAAAAAGCTATGAAAGATATGATGGTGCTTATTTAAATGTAACAAGTTTGATTTTTATTAACGTACACTTTATTGATTAAATTGGACCGATTATATAAGATATTTGTTTTAAGTGTAATTTACTTTCCTTATGTGATTTATCTCGTTCACACTCTCAAATATAGTAGTTGCATATTTTCCTTATCATTAAAAACAAAAGCACTAAATTAAATTAAAGCATCCAAGTAATGTAGTCGTGAATTAATCATTGCACATAGTAAATGTTAGATTCAATATATCTAGTACTTTTATTTACCTTAATGTTACTTTAATTGAAATTTCAATGTCTTATCTAAATGGTCAAAATTTAAAAACTATAACCGTTAGTCCTGAACATGCTGTACGGTAGTATCTATATTGTAATATAGTTGATTAGTTGGTGGTGGTTTATTTGGAGTATGGTAATATCTGAAAGGGAAATGATAGTGTAATGACATTTAACTTATCATTCCAAATAGATGATCATAAGTTCGAATTTGATGGTGGGACTTAAATTTTTTGAACTGAAAATGTTTGAAAATGTATAAAATAAATATTACATTGTAAAGAATCATGAGTATTTTTAAAAAATGATAATAAGTGTACTCTCATAAAGCAAAACTCTCGTTACATGTCCTAATTTTGTTAAGAGGAGAAAAAAAAAAAAAAAAAAAAAAAAAACAAACAAACACTATGACACACTTTTCGTCTTGGATCAATCATAATATACTGCATGCCCTGGAATGAGTGGCTAAGTAAGTGGAACATAATTCTCGTACTTAGAAAATAATGAGTTTGATTATTGTCAACACCCTCTTAGTTAAACTTGTCACATAAGATCTTCTAACGCAGTTAATCTATTCAGTGTGATTTGTAAAATATTACGTCAAAAGAGTGAAATTTATCATGTCTATACCTAAATAGTAATTATGGCCGAATTTCTACATTGCAAAAAAAAAAAAAAAAAGAGATCGAATACATGTAATAAATGCTAGTAAAGAGAAATCCACTAGAACAAAACATGAAAAGAAGAGAACGAAAAAAAAAAAAAAAAAAAAAAAAAGAATGATGAAAAGAGTGGGTTAAGGTGTTGATGAAGATGCTTTCACAATCAAAGGACACTATCATACAACTAAGTCAACAAGTTGAATGTAGTCTAGGAATATAATATAGTGGTAGAAGCAGACAGTTGAAAATTAAAGCAGAGATTAAAGTTGAAGTGGTAAAACTTTAATAATCCATATAAATTAATTATAGGATAAAGTAATCTCACAAAATGGATATAATTGAATTGAAGCTCATCAAAATTCTTTTTCATGTTTTTAAAGATTCAAATGTGTTTGTCTGTAGACTGTACTCAAAAATTAGTAAGAAAAATTAGATAGTTATTTATAGTGAACATTAAGAAATGATTTTAATAAGATAAAATAGTAAAGAGTTAATACCCAAAATAGTCCCTCGACTATGTCGTAATTACCAATTTGGTCCTCGACTATCATTCTTACCCAATTAAGTCCTCAACTATACAATTTTAACCCAATTTAGTCCTTTGTCAATTTGACTGTTTGTTGACTGTCAAAAGTGGAAATAAAGTTGTAATTTTACAAGTTTTCTCCTTCCTCCTCATTTAGCAGTGCCAAACCATGTAGCAATAAGCTCCGGTTGGGTTCTAAACCTGTCAGTATCGAAGTAGTGGTTATGCATCGGATAGCCCATGAATTTGATTTCCAACGATTTTTTGACGATCGAAATCTGATCGGAGTGAAATTGCTGCATGGTTTGGCGCTGCTAAATGGAGAGGAAGGAGAAATCTTGTAAAATTATAATTTTATCCCGACTTTTGACAGTCAACAAACAGTCAAATTAATACAGAGGACTAAATTGGGTAAGAATTGTATGGTTGAGGACTAAATTGGGTAAGAATTGTATAGTTGAGGACTTAATTGAGTAAAAGTTACATAGTCGAGGACTTAATTGGGTAAAAATGGTAGTTGAATACCAAATTAGTAATTATGGTATAGTCGAGGGACCATTTTGGGTATTAACTCTCAATAGTAAATGCTTTAAAAAAAAAAAAAGATAAAATAGTAAAAAAAAAAAATTCGTACAATTCAATATTTTAATCCCATGATTTAAGACCACTAAAACATGCTAGCAACATATTAAAAAAAAAAAAAAATACTAAATGAATAGACGAATTCTCAATTATTTTAGATCCAAAAAGAAGAGAACACAAGTACACAACGATGCTTTTCATTTTTTCTAAAACGTTGCTTGCCCTCCAGGCTCCCGCCACCATTAATTATCTTCTTTAATGTTTTCTTGTAATTTTTAAATTTAGTTTGTTTAAATTTAGTTTGTTTGTATGTTTAATGTAGTTTCTCAATATATAAATTTTATATATACTAATACTAAACTAAATATTACAAAAAATTAATTGAAAATAACTTGAACCAAATCTCGTTAACCAAACTAAACATACACATCAAATGAGATGGAGGGACTAAAACATAAACATGCATGCAAATGTGCAATCCAATTATCAGTTTAAGTTTTTAGTTGAGAAATCATCCGATTTGGTATTAGAGATTAATCTATAAAAAAGGAAGACTAATGGGCCCCCCATCCAAGCTGCTTAAAGAGGTACAGGATCGATTTTCTGACAAGCAAGGTGAGGCTCTACCCTTTCCCTAGAATCCACTCCGGGTCGGAGGAGCCAACCTCAAATGCTATGTTTCATTTATCGATTCTAGTATTGAGCGGAAGATTACACCTAGAGGTTCTGTGTCCACGTTTTACTTGACTTGTCAAACAAAATCAAAAAATAATAAATCCTCACATGAACTATATAAAATTTGAAGGGGTTGGCTAATATAGGTGGGTAGGTTTCTTTAAATATTTAATACAATTAAAAAGAAAAAAAAGGGAGTTATGTGAAGGAATAATGAGACGATGGGGCTAAAAGGAATAAAATCACCAATGTTAAGTAATGATTGAGTCTAAACTGCAAGCTCCCATCCTCAGCTTTCTTTTATGTCTAAAATGCAAATTTTATATTAGTAAAACTGCAAAAAGGGGTGGGATTATGGATGTGCTTTGTGAAGAAATCATAGCTATTCAGAGACCCACAAGCTCCAAACTGGAGATTCTCCTAACCACACTCAATGGGAGAAAAACAATTCTTAAATTAAAAAGAATGGCAGCAAAAGGGAATGTTTGCCTAACATTACGGATTGTTGTTATTATTATTATTATTATTTTGTGATTGTGTGCTTTAATTGAAATGTTCATACTCTACCCTTACTTAGAATAGATAGTTCTAGGAATTGAATTTAAAATCTTATGTGGATGTTTTGTAAATAGTTGTAAATTGGTAGCTGTTAACTGATTGAGTTAGAGGGTTTGACTAGTTGATAGCGTTAGCTGATTGTAGAAAAGTGTTTGTTAAATTAGTTGTTAACTGATTACACACAAAATGACTTTCTCAAAAATCTGATTGAAAAAGCTAATGTTTTAGAACAATAAGTTGTTACAAAAAACTAATTAATCAAACACTCATATTGATTGTTTAACAGTCAAACATCTAATAATGATCAAATAAGCCAGAATTGGTTGATAGGCTAACTATTTTACTAAATAGGGCCTATATATAGTTAGCAATTCAACTATGCGACTAACTCGACTGAAGTTATTCCGCAAATGCAGTTGCGACTAACTCGACGGGAGTTATCCCACAAATGCAGTATTTTATTAATATGAAAGAGAATACACTCAAAATATGATTTATAATGAATGCTAAATTAAATGTAAATTTAATATTTTACTAATATGAAAGAACTGTTCTCAGAAGATAATACTGTCACAAATGCATTACACTCAATTTTTTATTTTTTTGCTTTTCCCATTTGTGGGATTTTCATGTAATTAGTGTGTGTGTTAAAGCTTTGTAAGTTGTAACAATCTAATGCCCGTTTCAATCCCTCTAGGGCCATTCTTTGCTGCGTCATCATGATGCATATTATGATGTTTCTCATGTCAACTACATACATGTGATTGTGCTACCAAATTCAAATATATTTTTTTGCATTTTTTAAAAAATCCAAACCTTAGGTTAAATTCACATAGAGTAACCGTATACTTTCATTTTTTAACAAAGGTCAAGAGTTCAAACTTCCTTCCTGTATAGAAAAACTAATATGAGCAGCAATTTATCCTTTAATTAGGCTAATCCGGTGTGAACGGGAATTAATCTGAATATGATACATGCTTAAAGGTCCTCCTATAATTAGGGCATGCTCAGCACACCTTGTGGTCTAACAAAAGAAAATTCACATTTAATCATGGTTGTCTTACAAATTACAATGAGGCGTATGGTGATAAATAATTATATACAATTTATAATGTAGTCTTAGTCCTGTATGATCACATATAATAGTAATAATAATAATAATAATAATAATAATACATTAATCCAAATTTTAGCAACCTTAACGACATCGCAAGCGCGCATGCAGCATTTGAAGATCACATCTGTGGTCTTGTCTGTACGACATAGATTTTGGCATCCTTCACCACACCCTCAATGTCTTGAGGACATCCATTATTCAGCTCCTCAATCACTCTCCCAGCACTACCGATTTCCGAGAGGATTGATTGACGAAAATTGGAGTCCGTTATTAGTGGATCACACGAGTAGTCCAGTACCACTTTTTCCGCTTCATCAATTGCCACGCTGAAACAGTTTACACTCAGATCAAGCTAATAAAGGATCACCACAAAATTAAACCAACCTATATTGAACACTCATAAAATTTGTGTTGGGGTTTACCTGTCATAAAGCCCTGCCCCCGCATAACCTTCTAAATCTTCGCCATTGGAGTCTGAACGGAAGATTATAGATGGCCTTATGAAGAGGCCTGTGGGTTTGCTTGGGTAACCTAGTACCTGATCAAAATATTACTCAAAAGTTTTAATTGTGTTCTTCCGGTCAGATAAACCTCTTCTTATTAAACAGGAGGTGTTCATATGGATGGTGAGCAGTTCGTTCAAAGAGTAAAAACGTCGAATAAAATGGGCAGCATGTGTTTTAATAAGCCTCTAAACGATTAAAAGGTCCAGTTAATCACCTGAGGAGAGCTGAGATCATTCTTTTTGCAGGCAAAGCTCATAGCACGACCTGGATAAGCCCCAACCAGTGTTTCCCCTAGGCCTTTGACAACCTATACCAATGGGGCAGTTAGTTGGAGACATACATGATGATGAGCATATCTTTGGCTATCAACTATAGTGCGTATGTATATATGCATCCAAAATATCTCTTCCTAGCTATATTTTCACTCACAAGTATGTAGCTAGATAGCAGCAAGCTAAGTGAACTATTGGTTTTAGGAGTTTATACATACGCACATATAGATTTCTCAATCAGAATACACAATAGATTCAGAACTCATAAGTCATAACTCCCAAGTCAAAGTAACATTTAGGTAACAAATTGGTTGTTCACACTTCACAGGATTTAAGATCCATGAAATCCTCATTCCAGAAAAAGGATCTAAAACTCAGATTCATTCAGAAAGACTATATTTGATCATGGGGACTCTTCAAAATTAAAATTAATGCTATTTAAAGACATTTAAAACAAAAGGCAGGCATATTGTCAACAGATTTGAAATCCACAAATATAATCCAAATGGGCCACATATATAACCCAAATGGGCCACAATGGGGTGCAATGCTCCAAAGTAATTTAATAATAATTACATAAGCCTGAAAAGCAAGTCGATATTATGTTACCTCAGCATATATCTCAGAAGAATCTCCGGTGGATGGGTTAGTTGTATGGATAACAAATGCATAATCAGCATTTATTATCTCTTGAACAAGGACAGCCATGCATAGATAATCATGGTCTAGTTTCACTTTCCTTGTGCTAAAATATGCTCTCTCGTTCCACTTTGATGCCCACACCTGGAAATAGTAATAAATGGCAATGCACATGCATTAAAAGTGCTCCATCAGAGATAAGGGCTATGTATCAGCTGGAACCTGGAGTGGACCCAGGAAATAGACGATAACTGGACAAGAATGAATCTCCCTCCCAAGCTCCTTTGAAAAGTGTTAGAATTTCAGATTGGGCCGAGGTCACTCAACTCTTCCTAGGCCACTTTGAAGTGTTAGAATCTAAGATCACTCAGTGACAATATTTGACGGAATCTAAAAGGATTGAGGTCACTCAACTAGGCCATAATACACACTACACTAAAAGATTGAATCCAATCAATTAGCTAGTCTAACTCGTGGTCTTATAAACCCATATATTTCTCTCTTATTTTTCAATGTGAGACTCTTAACAAAAGGAAAGGAGCTATTTGGCACTAGATTTCTAGTACAGTTTTAGTTACTGATTACTCTCCCATAACATAGGGTTAGGCATGCAATGATAGGAAGTTAAATAGTTTTACCTTTTTGATTGCCATCCAAGCTTGTTCCCATCGCTCTGGACTTTCATCACCAGGCCAAGGCATACCGGAAATTTTCATCTTGTCTTTGAGTTCATTGACCTGAAATGTGATTTGAGGCACATCAGTATGCAAGCTAACTCCCAGAACAAAAATAGCCAACTATAATTACTAGTAGTAAGGAATAAATGCTAACATCTGACTCCTCAACTCAAATGTGTGTATCAATAACATTCAACTTTGTCCAGCGGAAAAACTTCATAAGTGTGTCTAAATTATTAACAAGAAGCATAGAAATGGAGTAATAAGTAAGATACCTACAAGGAGCAATATCAGTGGAACTTGGAAGCGTGTATAGTCACAGAACACATACCAAGGTAAATAAAGTGACAGAAAAGTTTAAGAGTGTGGATGACAAAAGAAGAAAGATAAACAATACCAGTTGGGATGGTGCGGAAAGTTCTAAAACTGTTTTTCTGATTTCACCAAGGATACTGAACTCTCCTTCAGATAATCTTTTCTTGAGAACTTGCAATTTAGTTGCCACACCCTGCCAAAAGTTTTCGAACACAAATATGCTAAACATCACATTAAGATGAAAATAAAAGGAAAATAAATTTCTAATACTACTTGCCACAAGACACCGGCGTGAATCATCAGATGTATTTATGCCTCATATCACTCAAACTAGAATTGACACAATATTTCTAAAATCAATGAGCATAAACTATAGCTAAGTTCTCTTCATTCCAAGCAAAATGCATTTTTGACTGTGCTTATCTTTTCATTGTGCAACTCAGATAAAAAATAGACTGACCACCAGCTCATACAATTACAATCTGGAGAATATGTTATGCTAAGAGACAGCAGGTGATACGTAATCTACAGCATTTCTAAAGTCAATGAGCATAAATATAACTTATGCTATGGCTAAGTTCTTTTCATTCCAAGCAAAATCCATTTTCAAACTGTCTCTTTCATTGTGCAATTCAGAATAGATAGAAGATAAACTAACCAATTACTTGTACAATCCTGAGAATACGTTAGTTTAAGAAACAGCAGTTGATAGAAACTGAAGCTACCAGAAAAAATCAATTAAAACAGCTTTGAAATAGAATAGAACCTGATTTATAGTGTCTGAAAGAACTTGTTCAAAAACTCCAAATGGTATGGCCACTGAAGTAGGAATACCAATCCAAGACGGTACCTTTCCCTTCAAACTTGCTATATTGCGTGATTTAGCTCCAACCTAGGCATATTCAAGTGTGTGACAATTTTTTTTCATTTTTGGAATCAATTAAAATATACTTTGGAAGTAAAATAGATTACATTGATGCAGCAAAATGTTTTACTGAGAACTTCATTAAAAACAAGATAAAACCAAGCAAGTTCTGATCAAAAGTAAAATGAAAGCCTTACCAATTCACTAGTAAATTCCTGAGATACTATTGCATATCTACCAGCAAAATGCTTTTTTACCAATGTCAAAGATTGTGAAGGGTCACCATCTGTGATATCAATTGATATCAGGATATCATCATCTTCCACCTCACTGAATATAAGGAAGAACAGAAGTTATTAATGAATTTTGCATATGAAAACAACATTTCAACAAAGGCTTTAGAATTAGATAAGTTTACCTATAGACTATATCAGCAGATGTAGGCTTTAATCTCAAAATCCTTCCTTCTTTTGCTTGAAGCTCAGCCAGAATATTAGGATCAAAGCATGTTGCAAAGCAAACCTGCCAAAGGGTAAATTCCTCTAGTATCACATGTTACAATAACTCATATTGCATCATGCTTACATGCTACAACAGTCACATTAAGAAACTACCTTGCCATTTCTTGCTCTAACAGAAACATGAGAAAGAACATCTGGCATGTCTGGCGTTAGCACTGCAGTGGTACCATCAGGAATTTCCTCTTCCCCTTTCACATTTTTTGCTACCAAAATTGTTGGTTTGTCATAAGATTTGTTTTGAACAGAGAGCAAGTCATCCACAACAACAATGTAACCAACAGCCTCAACAGGGCTGATGATTTGCCAACTGCATAAACACAATCATTTTAATTAAGAGGATTAAGTTATCAAAAAGATATTGCTACCCCAAAATCTTCCCTTCTGTTATTTTCAATTTCTACCAATGGTTTTACAGAATTCACTTTTGGTTTCACAACAAAAAAGCTTGACACCCATATCTTCAGTGACCAGAAATTTAAAGAAAAAAAAATGTAGATGGTTCTGGAGGCATAAGTTGTCAATAGATAGTTAGCATATATTAGTCAAGTACTTGTGAACTAAAAATATTTCTTGTGAGAAACCTGTCAAGTAATATGCCATTAATGCTTGTCATGGTTCCCAAACAGGAGCAATTATAAGTCATTAGCACCTATTATGGGTAAACTGCTCTTATATCAAGTACTTATGAGCTAAAAAATTGTTTAAAACAGTTCAATAAGAGGTAGTGACAATCCAATTAACCTTCCCAGTTGAGCTGTTTGTCGAAGAACAGGATCAAGTCGATTAATAAGTGAGGATAAGGAAGCAGCTGATCCAGCACGTATTATTTCTTCAGTGAATATACTCACCTGCAATAAGAGGGTATTTAAGTAATTATTTGGATACTTGGTGCAACAAGGTGAAGAAGTGTTATGTTTTTTTCTATGTTAGTAACATACTGCCCATTGATCAACCCCCAGTTTTGATCCAAGGTATTCTGCGGATGGTTGCAATAGATGATGGTACCACTCTGCTTTGCTTGCAAGAGCAAGCCGGGTTCTGTCAAGGACTGATTTTGCAAATAAAGCCCAGGAATTGTTTCCACTTTTTGACATGCTCAGTGCTTGGTTCCATCCCTTCATATAATCAACGGTGCTGAATGTTAATGTAAAATTATCTGCTAAATGTGCTTAACTAGTGATTTTTAAGTTTTACCTAAACATGTTACTGTGAAGCTAGGAAAGAATTTGCATAGCACTATAGCATGTTAGGCACAATGCAGTTATGAAGACTTGTACAAGCACATTACACATAGAGAAGCTACCTTTGATATATTAGCCCATAAAAGCTGGATTTCTATCCTAGCAGTAAAGCTAGCAATATGAAGAATGATTTTTTAAGGCATGGAGGTAAAAGATAGGGTTCACGTTGTGATAATGTTTTTGCTAGAAAGTAAGAACACTTCTACAAATGTTGCAATCAAAGTTATTGCTATTAGTTTTTATGCATAAGCATTCAAAAGTATCATAATATCTGGCAGGACACACTGTTTAACTCATTAGCCAAACAAATGCACAACGAGAATCAGCATAAGTAGAACTGCAGAAGAAAATTGAGTAGACTACTTTGCACATACCTTTAAGCAATAGACAAAATCTTCATTATCATCCACAGAGAGTGCAAGATTCTCAAGAACAAGGGAGATGAAGTAAATAATTTTCTGTGATAAAAGAACAGGACCATGAATATTACCTTAGGATAAATCTTTTGAAAGAATTCAGATAAATACAAGTCAATATACTATATCTATGTAAGAAAAATAATTTTAATAATAACTAAATTAGACATACCTCCGGATTAGAAGCATTCAGTTCCTCGTACCCCCTTTCTACAGCTGTCCTCACAGTAGAGTCAAGGGCAATGTCCAGAAATAGAAGATCCTTCAGGCGGTTGTTTGGTCGGGAAAGCAATGGCCTAAGCTCTTCACGAGCCTCTAGCAAACCCTGAATATAAAAGATAAACCAAAAAAATTAAAAGAAAGTCCTAAATATCATGGCAGATCAAGTCATCAAGGTCACTAGGAAAAGAGGATGACAGACCTCAAGGAGAGCTTCCACATTATTATCTTCCACATGATTTAAGATGAACTGAAGCAACTCCTACCAAAAAAAAAAGTTTTATGAGAAACTCATTTGTTATCAACTGGAATGAATTATCACACAGGTGCCATATGATGGGATGGCTTGCAATGTTATACCCGAAATCCTGATGGCAAGCCTGATACTGGATTTATATGCACACCAACCATGAAGCCTTCACCCTGAGGAATGAGGATAACGAAGAACCATTTCAGACTAAGGGATACATATGCACACCAACCATGTAGCAACAGAATTCCTATTAACATATTACCTCAGCTTTGTATCCCATGCAATTTCCTATGGCAGACTCAAGATCAGCACCTGAATGGACTGCCTGTGCAAAACATACAGCTAAACTAAGTTCCCTATCTAAGCCATATTAGAAAATAAAGCAAATATAAACTTGTTCACAAAACATACTATTTTAAGAACATTCCTATCTGAGTAACAGACCTCAAAGGAATAGTGATACTTTCTATCAAAATCAATTAGAATTCTAAATCAAGTTTATATTATAACTATTGTGTGATTCTTATGAACACACTGGTCCATGCATGCCTAAGTTAGACTTAAAAATTGTGTGATATAGTACTCCCTCAAGAAATGTAGCCAGGAGCTGGGTGCTCGCAACCTCATACCATAGAAACATATTGTAATAGATAACTTAAGAAACAAAGGGTGGTCACCAACCTTCAATGTTCTCATATAGCTTCCAAGATCATGTAAGAGGCCTTCCTTTTGGTCTCTTCTAAAATTTGGTTCAGAATGGATAGCACGATCATAACTTAGTAGGCGCTCTTTTGTAATTCCATTGGAATTCAGGGTTTTCCAATAAATACTAATATCAAAGTCACTGTTGAGATAGTCAATTAACGCCTGCAAAGGATAATCCACCTTAACAGCTTAAAAGGCAACCATATATAGAGAAAAGATTCGTCAAGTAGCATCCTTGATACCTGGCAGATCACAATGTCATCAGGGCTAGTGTTGTTATGCAGTTTCTGGTGCCATTCTTCCATCATTCCACCTTTGCAATCATTCTTCCTCTGCAGTTATAAATAAGTTATCGACATCAGTTACCATTGATTGGAAACCAGAATATAAGACTCTAAAGTCAAAGAAGTTTAAATTTACCTGAATAACCAGTATTTCATCCCTTATGCGCTGCCCTACATCTCCTTCTCCTCCACGCCCCACAGTTGACATAATCATGCGCAATAATCCACGATACTGTGGACAACTTATGTAAACATCCTGCAGCATATCTGTCAGCCTGTCCTGAGATCTGCTGATCTCACTGCATCAAATTAGCGCAAAAAGCATGCATGGTCAAAACTTAGCATGCCTTATATAAGGAAATCATGCACTAACAAGCCTCAAGCCTTTAACTTATTATTATACCAGACGAAAAATTACAGAACATGGCACTTCAAAGCATTTTAAAGAATAACAATCTGAACACAGAAGAAAAAGAGAACCTATTTCAAAGAATCTTACCGTGGCTTTACATTGTAGTTTTTGTTCCATATAAGCTGTCTTGTAGCCATAAACCGCATCCACACAAGGATTGCAGCAAAACCTAGCTCACCGGCATTTGTCGCTTCTGTTATCAAGTCAGCTGCAATATTAAACCTATGTAGAGAAAAAGAAATTATGTTCAAAGGACCATTTTTAAAGAGATACTTGATAATCCAAAGGACTAGTAAATAAACCATGTCTTATCAGGCAGGGGATTACTTATATATAAGAGCACTAGAAGAGCATATATAAAACACACTATCCTAAATTCCATTGCTAGGTCAGTAAGACATAGACATGTGCAAACATAAGAGATGTATCAATGAAGAACTACATGGTTATTTGAAATTAGCGTGACATAGAACATTTGAATCATTCAATAATTTAACACTTTGCTTCAACTCAGAGTACCATACTGTACATTCACATTAACTCTTGAGTTTCAACTAGTTCCAATCAAACAAGACTCTGCATGAGCACTTAATAGCCCGTTTCAGAAGTCATTGCAGGGCTTATCCACAGTCTAACCTAACAGAGTATTTTTCCTCCAATCAACCGCCCCCACCCCCCGCCCCGCACCCAAATATATCACAATTACATGCAACATGATATTATGAATAGACTAAGAAAATTTAGCAGTCTTTATAATAAAATAAAATTTTAAAAAGGGAAGAACAAATCTAAAAAAGAACATAAAAGCCTAATACGCTACGTCGCTACTCACCTGTGCATGAAGGACTTCTGAGCTTCACTTTCCATATTTGCAATTTTATCTAACAAAGCCTTTGCCGTTCCCTCACCATCCTAGTAGAAGTAAAAACAGCAGGTTTACAGAAGGCAAATTTCATATGATGACAGAGAATAATTATCAAGACATGGACACTTTTCTTTTACCTGCTTAGGTTGAGTACTAAAGTCAACATAAAAGTCTGAACCCCTGTCTTTTATCCAGTTTCTACCAGACAAAAGAACAAATGGCATGCCAGTGAAATCTCCATCCCCAATTCCAATTTCTAAGGATTGGACCTGAGAATTTATATACACAAATGAGTCATCTCCCAAGACTTGTCAACATAAAGGTTCAAGTTACAATCACTCAATTTGCAGCACTTTCACAAAATAAACTAAAATGACAACCAATCAAGTGCATACCCTATCAGACAGATTATCTGAAACACAGCTTGAGAATTGGGTTTCAGCATAATGATGTGAGGAAACTGATCCATGAGGCAATACATTTTCAGGTGGTGCCTGCAAATATTCACCATATATGAATCTACATAAAGATAGGAAAATCTGCTCATAGAATTTAAATATTTTGGAGTTCATAAGTCTTGGATCAATTACTTCCAGCATCTTACCAACCACTCTCCAGGTTTTCTGGATAATGCCCAATGAAGAATAACAGGCTCATTGAGATCCGTAGCCAGATAAACTTTTGTCTTACCAGACAGTTTTGCTACAAGTACCTTCAGAAGCACAAGAGAAAATTTTTAGGACTATACGTGCATAACTCTTGTGTGCAGAAGTCAAAAATACTATGCACTAACCATGAGTTCGCTGTTACCAATCTTATATATTTTCTTGGTTATTATAGGGCCATCAACCTGTCCTTCCTTAGACTTGGAAAAACGCTCAATCCTGGATAATACTTGAGCTGCACCCAATATCTGTTCCCCTGAAGCACCCTTGTTGATAAGTTGAGCCACATCTCGTTTCTTCCTCTGAATCTTTTTCATGCTGGAATAACTCCTTTTCTCTAGTTGCTTGGCAACCTTAGTTTGTATTTCTCCTTTTACAACCTTCTTCCGCAACTCTTCAAGTGAAATGCCTTTCTCAAGTTCAAGTTGCAATTCTTTCTTTGCTTCTTCAAATTCTCTCTGTTATTGAAACAAAAATTAGGATTTATAATAGGATTTTCCAGAGGATAACACAGAATTTCTTTGTGCAAACATATAACAAGGTTCAGGATTTACATTTTGTTCAACCGAAGAATAGAATGGTTTTCCTGCTTTCTCCCAACGTATATATGCTTGTGTTTGCACAAGATCTATGGGTAAAGTGCCCTTTGTTTTGGCAGGAGCCTGCTCCTTGAGTTTAACTGTGTCATTCTTCATCGTTAATCGTGCTCGAATGTCTACTATGGAAGTACCCCTTGTTATTTCCTCTAAAAGTTCTGTTCTTGCTGCTTCATATTCCTCCTTTAAATGTTATAGCATTTTCCATAAATAACGATGTGCACAAATGCATATTTTTCAATTGCAAATAATAATAATAATAATAATAGTTAATAAATAAATAAAATAAAGAAGAAAAAGTCAAGAGTGCAAATAAGAACAATAACTATATGCACCAATACACGTACAGAGTATATAAGCATGACAGGCAATAAAAAAGTGACAAAATGTTACTCCATAAAACAGAAAGCCCCTAGAAGACCATTTGAATAAGATCCACTATGAATGAATTAACTCATGCTTATGAACTTAAGCATTTTGAATGGTCAAGATTAATAAATTAAAACAAACATATAGACAACTGGAATCAAATGGCAAGAATTATGCACCTTCTCTTGCTGAGGGTTGTAGGTTTGTTTTCCTTTCCTCTCCCACCTCAAGTATGCCTGAATCTGCACAAGATCTTCTGGAACTGAAACATTGGACCGTGGCAGTCTCAGAGGCCTCTGTGGCTCTCTTGGGGGAATTTTAACATGGAAGTTATTGTCACTATTTTTTATCCTGATGAATGCAAAAAGGGAGAAGAAAGGATCAAGTCACTCCACCACGTTCTTTTTCCACAGACAAAAGAACAAAATTTGTTTAGAGATGTGCACCATACCATTTATTCTGGGGTTCATTATATATAACAAACTCTATGGCTTGTATTGCAGGATCATCTATATCCAATCTCAAAACAGCATAGGAGCCAGACTAGGGGAAGCATTCAACTTTAGTAATAATTCACAAATGAAGTTATCATATTAAAAAACATTTAATCCTCGACATTCTATCCCCTTAAGAAACTTACTTGCACGAGAGGAGTTCGAAGTGCTCTATTCTTATATACTATGGTTCCATTTGGACGATGATGAGGAAGAATCCACCTGCTAACAGAATTATAGAGAAAAAAGATATTAAAGTGCCACATAACAAAGCCCAAATAATCCCAAATAATAATTTAAGCTTACTCCTTTCCAGATTTTATTGCACCCCAATGAAGAAACAAGCCCTTGCTGTTGCTGGTAACTTTAAAATCAACCAGGACATGACCTGAAGTGGGGGGCTTAACATCAACCTGTTCAATCCAAATATTTTAAATAAAATAAAATAAAAAAAAATTAAAAAAATAAAAAAAAAAAAGAAGAAGAAGAAGAGGAAAATCTCATATAAAAAATTGTTCCCATTGATCAATAAATTAGGATCACTGAACCCCATTCCACATTATACAGGCCTGCAGACCATCAACCTTTATAGACTATTTGCTTAGGGTCCATGAATAAATATATTTGTTCTATATCATTGAGAACATACAAAAATATCCTTCTAATATTGCATTTGAATATAGTTACTTGAGCAGTACAAACTGAAATACCTGGAGTTCCATATTCCCTTCAAGGTTGAATTTCTCAGCAATCTGCTAGAAAGCAAAAAAAAAAAAAAAAAAAAAAAAAAGTGATTAAATACATAATAGACATAAATGAGAAGCTTAGTAGCAAAAATATAACCACAAACTACCATTTGCCCATTTCCCTTATCTGCTTAAAAATAGATGCAAATGTGATTCCCAAAACAATGAACACGCAACATGATAACCTTCATTGGCCAATATGGTGAATTGTTGTTCATTTTAAAAATTTACCTCAGAAGAAGGATTGGTGGCAAACATGGCCTGAATAGAACCAGAAACAGAAGGCTGGTGTGGCATCGGAAATTTCTTTTTCTGCAGAGTAAATCTATCAGTGCATAACTGAGTTAATAAAGAGGGTTTCCGTTTTTGTGAATTCACTTGAGACTGAAACAAGGAACTACCCCCAAGATACGGAGGGGAGCCGATTCTTCTACTCCGATATTCCAATACCGAAGAGGGAAGGAATCTCTGGTGCAACAAGTTACTCCATAACGAATTGCTCATATTCCACTCTCCCAATCACTATTATTATATTCCAAATTACAAATTACCAATCAATCAGCAACCACGCACAAATCCACAATCGTATCAGTCTCCCCGCATTCGTATGATTCTATGGAGCTAGCATACACTGTATACTTCACAAATAATCACCAAAAAAAAAAAAAGAAAAAAAAATCAACAAAGAGACGAAATGCAGTAAATAGACGAATACGAAGTCGACCAAAACAAACGCGGTGAAGATTGAGATTGCTTGAAGTATAAATTATCGGAGTTTTAGTAAATTCGAAGAGATCGTTAACTGGAAACTGAGATATAAACATGAATATTAGTAGGATTGTAAAGAAGCAGATAGAAGTCGGAGCTTACGCTGTGCAGTGTGAAGACTGAAGATCGGAGATTGTTTGAGACAATCAGACAACGGAGACTGGAAAGTGTTAAAGAGATGACGTAGAGGGAAAGAAAACGGATACTTCAGTATCACGAAGAAGGAACAAGTGTCCAGGTGGCAACTTTTTACACGGACAACTGTACAAGAGGAATGAAGTTCGGAACTCCCCCGCGCAGGTGACGTGGACCACCCAGGTGGCCAAACACGGGCCCAACTTAGCCTTCGTGGCAATTTCTAAGGGCAAAAGACTAAGGCTATCCTTATCCCAACAATTTCTCTCACTTTCTAAAATGGGTCCCACTTACACATCATCAAATTTACAAATTATCTACTATTTATTCTATATCCCTGCAATATTCTCTCACTTTCTAAAATGGTCCCACTTTCATATTATATTATAAATATAATAATAAAATAATAATAAAATAACAAAAAGTAGAAAGAGAAGTCAAAAGGCTGCCATGCAGGATTGAAAGCTTGCTATTCTTGCAAGCTTTCTAGCCATGTAGGATTAAAAATTAAAGCAAAATAAAAATAAAAATTCCACATCATTTTACACATCACTTTGCAATTGATAAGGACAACATAAGGCCCTGTTTGGTAAAAATTTGGCCTATAGGCTAATTTTGACTTATTTGATCACTATTAATTTTTTTTTTTTGAAAGGAAAATAAAGCTTTTATTAAATCAAATGCTCAATACAACTCGGAATAGAAAACAACCAAATAGCCGGACCAGTTTGAGAACGAGCTGCCCTTGCTAACGCATGAGCCGCTTTATTCACTGATCGGGGAAAATACTTAAATGACACTATTTCAAAGTGCCTTCGATCATTTCTGCATTTTGCAATCACACAGCCTGTTTTTTGCAACTACAAAATGCTAAAATTAAAAAAGCTACTCCTAGCAACTTTTTCAATTAGCTTTTTGAGAAAAGAAATTATACCAAACAGTTATTAGCTAACAGCTAATTTACCAAACATTTTTCTACCATCAGCTAATGTTATCAACTATTTATACCCTCTAATTAACACAACAACTATCAGCTAACAGCCATTTTACCAAACAAGGCCTAAGACTTCTACTACATATATTTCCAAATTCTACTCCCCACTTGTACTCCCTAACATGGCAAACAAAAATTAGGGATAGCAACGAGGCGGGGTGGGGACGAAGAGTATACTCCTCCCCCACACACACATTTCTAACTTTTAAATTATTATAATTTTTAATTTTAAAAACTAAATTTTTAATTAATTTTAAAAAATTAACACACACACACACACACACACACACACACACACACACACACACACACACACACACACACACACACACATATATATATATATATATATATATATATATATATATATATATATTATTTTTAATTATAATAATTAATCAGGGAAGTATCTCGTCCCTAAAAAAAATTTCGGGCAGGACATGTGTTAATGACCCTTCAGTCTTTTACCCCAAGTTTTAATTTTTTACTATAATTTTAATACATGCCTACATGTACTTCCTATTTTTACTCCTTAAAACACAAAATTTTGTGAGAGTGAAAACAATTTGAGAGTATTTAGTATTTTCCATTATACCATAATCCCAAAAATACTATTTGAATTCCAAAAATCTACTCTCAACTTTGTTTACATTTTATTGGAGGAGAAAAAAAAAAGACGTCATAAGGACTTAGGGAGTAGAAAATAGAGGCATGATAGAGTACTGATCACCAAATAATGCTAGCTTACTCCGGTCATCAGTGACCAAATTTCTTGAAAATTGATAATTAAATATGAAAATGATCCAATAATTACGGAATCAAATATAGAAAAATTAGAAAATAAATGTGTGAATGATCCGGAAATACTAAATATATATAGTACGTTTATTTATTAGTATATAATAAGATAGTTAAGTTAATAATAAGATAATATGAAAGACATGACATGGGACATTTGCATGACAAAACAAATCAAAACAGTACTGTTTTGAGTTCACTTTTGTGAGATGAAAGCAATGATGCAACATTTTCTAAGCTACAAATCAAGATTTTGTTTGTTTTTTTCTTTTTTCTTTATTTTTGTTAGTCGTCTACCGAAAGAAAATTATTCATTATTCATCTAATTTATAACACGAAAGGAACTGTATCGGTCGCCGTCCGTCCGTCCGTCCATCCAATTCCGGCGACAATTTTCTTCACTGCTGCGTAACCACGGCCATGGCGCTGTCGAGATATCTATCGTAGACCTTGAGGCTGTTCTGCAAGGGAAAGTTCTTGACGCCGAACTCTTTGAGGGCGTCCTCGCAGTCGCTGGACAAGGCGGCGCTGAGGTGGATCATGAGGGTGCCGCGGTGGCCGGAGTGGAGGGACTGGAGGGAGATTTTGAGGTCGTCGATGGCCCTGTCGAAGCTTTCGCGGCAGGTCTTGAGGATGGAGTCCTGGGTGGCGCGCTTGAGTTTCGCGACGGAGGGGGCGAGGGCGCCGCTCTTGGCCTCCATCTCCTTGGCCAGCTTGAGGGTGGCCTTGATGGCGTTGGCGGAGGCGTCGTGGAGATTCGACGCGCCGCCCACCATGCGCGTGCAGAGCTGCTTGCTGTCGGCGGTCTTACAGAACTGGTTGATCTTGGACCCGTGCTTGAAGGCGGGGAGGAGGGCGTCGGCGCCGTGGCAGAGGAGGAGGAAAGCGGCGGCGACGGCCACCAGTACAGTGACCTTTTGTGCCGCCATTTTATTGTGTTATTGAGCGGCGGCCGGCGGGGCTCTGAAGGGGAGTGGTTAACCACTTGGTGGTTAAAGTTTCTCCGATCCTTCAGGGCCTCTTCCTCGCAACCTTAGGTTGTGAATGAGAAAGAAGGATGTGAGGGTTCCATTAAATACTAGTTTCCGCGAACAAATCGGACTCTAATGGTCCGACAAATGTGGACGTTCATGAACAGAATTACGTTTAATTTATGGCATCCTAGCTAATCGCCATGCAAAATCCTATGGTTATCCCTCCTCGTAACATTATAAATGTTTCTTTTTTTAATGAATTAACTGACACGTTAGCAGTGAGTCAGTGACGTAACTATAGTTTCACGTATAATTTAATGTCATATTCTTTAGGAATAAGGTTCAAAAACTGAACGTAACCTGAAAATGCAATTAGACAATTGAACGGAAAAAAAAATACAATTAGATCACTAGACACTAAATATATACAATTTCACATGATAGCAAGTTACCATCAATTTTAGCAGGTTACCTGTTTACGTGACGACTGAGTTGACATTTTTGATAAATTTTAATAATAATTAAAAAAAAAAGTTTTAAAAAACGATGGGGCCACCCCTTCGTTTTATTTTATTATTTTAATTTTTTTAATTTTTTAAAATTTATTATTAAAATTTATTTACAAATATTAAAAATGCTAACCCAGCTGTAACATAAGCAGATAACTTGCTAAAATTGATGGTAACATGATATCCGGTGAAATTGTATACATTTGAAATGTTAAGTGGTCTAATTGCACGTTTTTTAAGTGTTCAGTAACCTAATTACACTTTTTTTTTCAATAACTTTTCAGAATTACGTTCAGTGGCCAATTTGAACCTTATTCCTATTCTTTATTTAAAATCTTTATTTAAAAGTTGGGATTAAGCCGGGTTGATTTTCTATGGGTTAAAAATTAAAATGGTGATGACATTGGGCCTAATAGTAAATTCATCTAATAATTGCTCAAATATAGTGATCTAACTGCCTTCCCACTTTCTCAATACATGATGCATGATCCAACGTAACTATGCAAGTGCATCTTAATTTTTTGTTTTATTTATTTATTTTTATATAACTTAATTTTGTCAAATTATATCCTAAACGCAATGAAAAGATAAATTGAGTCAATTTAATTTCAAAATCAACACCAAATTATACACTTTTATACACAAAGAGTTCAATTTAAACCCAAATGCAACATAGTATTGACATCCATGTTTGTCCTTCAACATTTTTTTAATTTTTTAAAATTAAAAACAACCATGGTTGTTTTACATGTGTCCAGATCTATAACTTTTGAGACAACGGTCCATATCTAAACATTTTTTAAGACAACCATGATTGATTTAAAAAAAGCAAACTTTACTTTAAAGGGATATTCACGATTGTATACTTGTGTTATTGTTGTATAGAGAGAACCACAATGATCTCCATCTGACACTTTTAATGTTTATTAATTTTTAAAGTTCAAAGTTGTATAATTCTTCAATCAAATCACCATTACAACATCTTAGAGCATCCATAATAGTTACGTTTTTTTTTTTGGTGGTTTGAGTAGTTTCTGTAAGTGTGATTAAGAAAGAAAAAATGAAAAAAAAAAAGCAAAACAAAACATACTGAATTAGAAAATGAAAAAAAAACAAACAAACAAACAATGTAACAACTCGCACCTGAGCTGGGTACAGATTGTTCTTCACGCGTGAGTTATGCGAGATTCCTCCCAATCATGTGGGCCCCACAAGCGGACAAAAACCACAAAACTGCAAGAAGAGCTTGCCCCCTCTCTCTTATCAATGTTAGTATTTTTTGTCAAAAAAAATCGTGAATAATCCACTAATTTGAATGCTCTTAAAGAAATATATGTGAAAGTGTAGTACCTCCATGTCAAATTAGGGACAACTATAATGTTTTACCCTAAATACCAATTTAGGATAGGACTCAATTATAATGTTTTACCAATTTAGGATACCTCATTTGAGTTGTTCTATTAGATTTTTTCTTTATTTCATTTTCAGCTTTGTTATACTAATTAAATTGTTTTTTTTTTTTGCCTCAACAATAGGCATCTTTAGTTGTAACTAAAGATGCCTAAAGTAATTTAAAAAAACATTCTACTTCATATATTGTTTTGTTCAATATGCAATGTGGTATGTGGATGACTTGAACTCAATTTATATCCAAAGAATGTTTAGAGCAATAAAAATATCTATTGTTATTTTTTTAAAGGAATATTTATTGTTATTTATTTAAGACGCAAATTAAATGACTCATTTTAATTTGTAATAGTAGCCTA